TTGAAAATTGAATCCCGCCAAATGTTGAAAATTAAATCCCGCCAAAATTTGATAATTTGGATCATGCCAAAAATTTGAAAGTTGAATTCCCGCCAAAAATTTGAAAATTGAATTCCCGCCAAAAATTTTGAAAGTTTGAATTCCCGCCAAAAATTTTGAAAGTCTGAATTCCCGCCAAAAATTTTGAAAGTTTGAATTCCCGCCAAAAATTTTGAAAGTTTGAATTCCCGCCAAAAATTTTGAAAATTTGAATTCCCGCCAAAAATTTTGAAAGTTTGAATTCCCGCCAAAAATTTTGAAAATTCGAATTCCCGCCAAAAATTTTGAAAGTTTGAATTCCCGCCAAAAATTTTGAAAATTTGAATTCCCGCCAAAAATTTTGAAAGTTTGAATTCCCGCCAAAAATTTTGAAAGTCTGAATTCCCGCCAAAAATTTTGAAAGTTTGAATTCCCGCCAAAAATTTTGAAAGTTTGAATTCCCGCCAAAAATTTTGAAAATTTGAATTCCCGCCAAAAATTTTGAAAGTTTGAATTCCCGCCAAAAATTTTGAAAATTCGAATTCCCGCCAAAAATTTTGAAAATTTGAATTCCCGCCAAAAAGTTTGAAAATTTGAACTCCCGCCAAAAATTTTGAAAATTTGAATTCCCGCCAAAAAGTTTGAAAATTTGAACTCCCGCCAAAATTTTTGAATTTTTGGTTTCCCACCAAAATTTTTGAATTTTCGAGTTCCCGCCAAGATTTTTGAATTTTTGAATTCCGCCAAAAATTTTGAAAATTTGAATTCCCGCCAAAAGTTTTGAAAGTTCAAATTCCCGCCAAAAATTTTGAAAATTTGAGTTTCCGCCAAAAATTTTGAAAGTTCAAATTCCCGCCAAAAGTTTTGAAAATTTAAATTCCCGCCAAAATTTTTGAATTTTTGGTTTCCCACCAAAATTTTTGAATTTTCGAGTTCCCGCCAAGATTTTTGAATTTTTGAATTCCGCCAAAAATTTTGAAATTTTGAATTCCCGCCAAAAGTTTTGAAAGTTCAAATTCCCGCCAAAAATTTTGAAAATTTGAGTTTCCGCCAAAAATTTTGAAAGTTCAAATTCCCGCCAAAAGTTTTGAAAATTTAAATTCCCGCCGAAAATTTTGAAAATTTGAATTCCCGCCAAATGTTTTGAAAATTTAAATTCCCGCCAAAAATTTTGATAATTTGGATTCATGCCAAAAATTTTGAAAGTTTGAATTCCCGCCAAAAATTTTGAAAATTTGAATTCCCGCCAAAAATTTTGAAAGTTTGAATTCCCGCCAAAAATTTTGAAAGTCTGAATTCCCGCCAAAAATTTTGAAAGTTTGAATTCCCGCCAAAAATTTTGAAAGTTTGAATTCCCGCCAAAAATTTTGAAAATTTGAATTCCCGCCAAAAATTTTGAAAGTTTGAATTCCCGCCAAAAATTTTGAAAATTCGAATTCCCGCCAAAAATTTTGAAAATTTGAATTCCCGCCAAAAAGTTTGAAAATTTGAACTCCCGCCAAAAATTTTGAAAATTTGAATTCCCGCCAAAAAGTTTGAAAATTTGAACTCCCGCCAAAATTTTTGAATTTTTGGTTTCCCACCAAAATTTTTGAATTTTCGAGTTCCCGCCAAGATTTTTGAATTTTTGAATTCCGCCAAAAATTTTGAAAATTTGAATTCCCGCCAAAAGTTTTGAAAGTTCAAATTCCCGCCAAAAATTTTGAAAATTTGAGTTTCCGCCAAAAATTTTGAAAGTTCAAATTCCCGCCAAAAGTTTTGAAAATTTAAATTCCCGCCGAAAATTTTGAAAATTTGAATTCCCGCCAAATGTTTTGAAAATTTAAATTCCCGCCAAAAATTTTGATAATTTGGATTCATGCCAAAAATTTTGAAAGTTTGAATTCCCGCCAAAAATTTTGAATTTTCGAATTCCCGCCAAAATTTTTGAAAATTTTAATTCCCGCCAAAAATTTTGAAAATTTAAATTACCGCCTAAAATTTTGAAATTTTGAATTTCCGTCAATAATTTTGGAATTTTATATTCCCGCCAAAAATTTTGAAAATTTAAATTCCCGCCAAAATTTTTGAAAATTTTAATTCCCGCCAAAAATTTTGAAAATTTAAATTACCGCCTAAAATTTTGAAATTTTGAATTTCCGTCAATAATTTTGGAATTTTATATTCCCGCCAAAAATTTTGAAAATTTAAATTCCCGCCAAAAATTTTGAAAATTTGAATTCCCGCTAGACAATTGGGATTTTTTGAAAGCGATAGAAATTATTTTGCGGTAGAAAGATTTTGAGGCCGTATTGAGGGTTTTCGAAACTAGAATTTTGTATCTATTGAAATCATTTTAAGACTCTACTTATCTACCGGTCACTGGAGATTCAACAAGGTTTATATACCGAATTAGCTGACACGGAGCAATGGAGACAGGCTAGAAGAGTCGAAATACCGTCTAGGCGGCTGAACGGGCTCTTTAAACCGGATCAGATTCCTTATTTTGCTCATTTCCACTGGTTTGATGTACGGTTAAGCGGAATGGCAGTGACAGAGCTCATGGAAGTTGTGAAGGTATGTTTGTTTGTCTATCAGTCCATCGCTTATAACATTTTTTTATTTCAGACCCTCAAAAATTCCGAAAACTTGAAAAAGTGTATACTTCGAGGTGAACTTCAATTTACCATCAATGACTATGCTACAGCAAGCAACAAAATGCCCCAGAATAATTTCGTACTGCGAGAGCCGATTGAGGGAACCCTTGACAGAGAGCTTGAGTTACGGTTTTGCAAAGGCTGGGATGGCAGTTTGGTAATCCAGCGGAAGAAAAAGATAATGAAGAATTGACATCCGAAATACTAATTTTCACGAACAGAAACCATTTTAACATTCCCCAGAGTCTGCCATGTAATGTGATTCTGATTTGTACTCAAAATCTCCGATTTTCCATTATAATACCCCTTTGAACATCTCCCAAAAGTTTCGCAAGACCTTTTCTATTGTCATAAAAAAAAGAAAAAAAGATTTGGCTTCACTCGGAATCGAACCTACCCTCTTCTACTCAAACTGACATACCTGATAACCACTAGGCCATCTTTACACTCTTTTTGATGACTCCTTGGCGTTAGTCTCCCCTCTTTCTCCGGCGCCCCTTCCCCCTCTTTCCTGTATGCCCCCTTCCTCACCTCTCCCAACTGCAGCATGGCGCAATGGCTAACGCTTTTGCCCTCCACCAGACAGGTCCCGGGTTCAATTCCACATGGTGCTAAATCTTTTTGTTTTTTTTTCTAATTATGATAAACTGTTTTAAATACTCGATTGATTGTTCAGAAGTGCTGAAGATATATTTTGAAGAGTGCGCCTTTAAACTTTTAGACCTCTGTATCTCGGCTGGTTTTGGTCGGGAATCCATGAAAATTACAGTTTTCGAATCAGCATTTTGATGAAACTATGATGTGATTCAGACAATTTTGAATTTTCCAATCTTATCACAAAAAAGTTCATTTCAAACACTATGTACACGATCAAACGAAGTCGATGAGAATTTGGTGCGCTTCATTTGAAAAACGGAATCCGTAGGTTCAGATGAGTATAATCATGACTAGGTTTCAAAAATTTTTGATTTTTGGTTTCGGGATCAAAACTTGTGTTTTTGAGGCTCAAATTTGTTCTTGACGCACCCTAATGAGCCAATGTTGTCTGTCTGTCTGTCAGTTTGTCCAAATATCCCATCGTTTTTTTTTATGTTGTTACTCAATAATGACTCACTCACACTTTCCGCTCGCCTTCCTTCTTTTTTTTCTCTGCCTCTCTAAACCTTTCCTCTCCGTCTATCTCTCTCTCTCACTCTTATCGCCACAATTTTAACACAAATATTTCGCAAAATATGTTCGATTTTTTCAAAAAACTTGGAATTTCGAACCGAAAAAGGTTTGTAGTCTTTGTAGTTTGTAGTTTCAGCCAAAATGACATTTCCGAAGACGGCTCTGTCCTCTTAACAATGCCAAAGGTGGTGATGAATGAAGTTGTGGAGAATTTGGATTTCAAGGAAATGTAAGTTTTATTTTTTTTTTTTGGCTGAAAATCTGAAAAAATTCGAGACGGTTCGAATGAAAATTTCTTGGTTCTGGGTCCCACCACGAAAACACAAAAGAAGCCATATCTCGGTCAATTTTGGTCCAAATTCTTTGAAAACTATACTTTTGAAATCAGCTCGTCAAGTCGGTTTGAATGAGTATAATCATGCCTAGGTTTGAATTTTTTGAATTTTTGGGTCTCGCCACGAAAACATAAAGGCTGCCGTATCTCTGCTATTTTTGGTCCGGTTTCAATGAAAATTATACCATTAGAATCAGTGCGTCAAGATGCTTCGAATGAGTACAATCATGACTAGGTTTGGAATTTTTTGAATTTTTGGGTCTCGCCACGAAAACACAAAAGAAGCCATATCTTGGTCAATTTCGGTCCAAATTCTTCGAAAACTACACTTTTGAAATCAGCGCGTCAAGGCGGTTCGAATGAGTATAATCATGGCTGGGATTTGAATTTTTTTTTCAAAATTTTATTCTGAGCAATTCCAAACAATTGCCCATAACTCAGTTAGTTTTGGTCCCATTTAAATGAGAATCATATTTTCCAATTCAGCGTGCTTAGACGGTTCGAATGAGTATAATCATGACTAGATTTGGAAAATTTTTCAATTTTCTGGGTCTCGCCACGAAAACACAAAAACTACCGTATCTCAAAGTAAAAAAGCCTGAATCAGGCCTAGAAAAATCCTAAAAATTCATCTAAAAAAATCAAAATTAGGCTTCAATAAGGCCTAACTTTAGGCCTAAATTTAGGCCTAAATTAAGGGCTAAATTTCCAAACCCGAAAACCCCCAATTTTCAGCCTAAAACTGCGAAAAGTTTGCCGGGACCTTCGAAATTTCGTTGACCAAAACGCGGATTTGCATTTATATGGACTAAAAATCTGTGATTTTGATAATGAGACACAATTGTCAGTGTCGGAGAATGGAAAAACCGAGGAGTTTTGTTACAAAAAAAGGAGAAATGGTTGCGAAATTGTTCAATTGGAACAGGGAATTGAGAAAAAGAGATTTGTGAAAAAAGGAAATTATTTGGATTTGGTTTTCCATGATTTGGCTGTTATTTTGAGGTGAGTGGGGGCATCCGGATGTCTGGACGAACAGACTGACAGACAGACAGACAGTAGGAAAAATAGACATCTGCCATAACCATCCGGACATCCGGATTGACAGACAGACGTATGGACATCCGGACGCCTGGACATCTGGACGTCTGGACTGACAGATAGATAGACAGGTATCCAAACAGACGTCCAGAAATCTGAACATACCGACAGACAAATGAATACTGTAAAATCAGTGTGACATCCGAATAGACAGATAGACAGACAGACGACAGACATACGGACAGAATGGAAAATAGACAGTTAACATCAGCATCCGGACATCCGGATCGACAGACAGACGTATGGACATCCGGACATACAGGCAGACACCTGGGTTTATGGAAGTATAGATGAACAGACGGACCGACATCCGAAAGTCTGGAAAAACAGACAGACAGAAAACAGACGGACAGACATCCCGGACATCTGGACATCTGGGAATCGGGACGTCCGGAAACACAGACATACATCTGGACATCTGAAAATACAGACAGACAGACGGAGGGGCATATTTACATCCGGATGTCTGAACCGACAAACAGACAGACAGAAACCTGGATATCTGGACAGACAGGCATCTGGACAGACAGACATCTGGACAGACAGACAGAAAAAAAATGGACAGAAAGACAGACATCCTGTTCATCTGGTCATCTGGAACCTGGAATGTCCGGACATACAGACAGACAGACAGACAGACAGACAGACAGACAGGCAAACATACATCTAGACAGACAGACATCCGGATATCTGGACAGACAGATCGAACAACTATCTAACTTCCAGGCTCCAAAAATCGGCCCTCGAACTCTTCGAAGTGGAATTCAACATCTACACCGTCTCACCTCCAGAATTCTCCTCCAAACTCCATGAAATCATGGCACCTCGGCTGCTCAAAACCATCAGATTCTACACTACAGTATCCCAATCATCTGATGTCATGTGCTGTCTACCGTACCTCCATACTGGATCACTGGAGTCTATAAAAATTCAGTGTACCCAAAAAATCCATCAATTGGGGAGAAATGAGCAAAAATATCTGAATTTAAAGGAGGGGATCGTCGAATTGGAGCAATGGAAAGGGGCGGAGCGAATCGGAATTTATGGATTTTTGGTGGCGAAGGAAGAATTGGAGTATTTTCGGCATGCCACGGTGATCGATGTCACTTTGGAGCATGTGGGGTCTGAGGATTTGGTGGAGTGGAAGGAGGTAATTTTGGATATTTGGGCACTAAAACTGACTTTTGGGAGAAGTGAATGTCAAATTCGTAACCAGCTCGTCAAGGCGGTTCGAATGAGTATAATCATGACTACATTTGAAACTTTTTTGTGTTTTGGGTCCCGCCACGAAAACACAAAAACTACCGTATCTCGACCATTTTTAGTCCGATCACAATGAGCAATATATCATTGAAATCCACGCGTCAAGGCGATTCAAATGAGTATAATCATGACTAGGTTTGAATTTTCTTTACTTTTGGGTCCCGCCACGAAAACCCAAAAACTGCCATATCTCGATCATTTGTGGTCCAATTGAAATTAAATTAGTATTGTTGGAATCAGCGCGTCAAGACGGTTTGAATGAGCATAATCATGACTAGGTTTGGAAAAAAATTTGATTGCGGGTCCCGCCACGAAAACAGAAAAACTACCGTATCTCGGCTATTTTTAATCCGATTTCAATGGCAATTGGACCATCGTCACCAACTCGTCGAGGCGGTTCGAATGAGTACAATCATGACTAGGTTTGAAAATTTTTTGAATTTTTGGGTCCCGCCACGAAAACACAAAAACTACTGTATCTCGATCATTTTTGGTCCAATTTCGATGATAATTGTATCATCGGAATCAGCGCATCAAGACGGTTGAGGTAAAATTAATTGATTTCGGTTCAAAGCTCCGCCCATTCCGAATGGAGCGCATTTTCATTAACTGAACATACAAAATTCGCGAAAATAGGGAAATCTGTAGAAAAACTGGTTTTTTAGGGTTCTGAGCCACTCTAATTAACAAAATCTTTTTTTAGAACCTCCTCCGCCACGCCCATCTGCAGCAAGTCACCTTGCACTGTTGCTCCAGCGACAATGAAAATTTTAGCGATTTATTCGGCCCGATCGATATTTCTGCCCGTTTGATTCATAGACCTTTTGGTAAATGTTGCTTTAAAACCTCGAAATCCGAAGAAATAATCGAAGTTTCGTGGTGGACGACCTCGTTTTTTCGTTTGGAACGAAAAATATTCGATAAAAATGATAATTATGACTTGATTCATGAAATTCCTGTGTAAAATTGTTTATTTTTTCAATATTCTTATGTTTTTCTGCTTTATTTTCAATAAATCCTCCTTATTTTCCCTTTTCTTGACCCCAAAAACACCCCGCAGCCGTTTCCCAATTCAAATTTCCCGCGTTCACCGCAATCGCGCTCCGCTGCGCGACGTACGCTGCGTCTCTTCCCTCCGTGTGGTCTCTCACCCCCGCCGCGTCGGCAAGCGCCATTCACACTTTTGGAGCGAATTTCGAATTGATTTTTAGCGAATTCGACGTTTTCGACGGTTTTTGATGGAATTTTTTTGTTTTAGGAGATTTTTAGGTGAAAAATTGAATTTTTGAGGTAGTTTTTACCTGTATTCGTCGGATTTATGGGGAGAAAAACAGGGAAATGTGGAAATTATTGATTTTTTGCTTTTTCCTCGGATTTTGTTTGTTTTTTAGACGGTTTTTTGTGGTTTTTGTTGATCTTTTGTTAATTTTTGGTCAATAAAAAAGTAACATAAATCTCAAAAATAAAAAATTTGAAAAAAATTTTTTTTTTACTCGAAAAAATTTTTTTTTGTTAGAAAAACTGGTTTTTTGGTAGTTTTACCAGGGTTTTACTGATTTTTTCCCTTATTTTTGCTGAATATTACTCCAAAAGCCGTAAAAAAACTAAAAGTCAAACTGAAAAAAAAAAAATTTTTCAAAAAAAAAAAAAAACATCGAAATTTTCGGGTTTTTGGCTGATTTTTGCCGTTTTCACCCTATTTCCCCCCAATTTTCTCTCCAAAACCTAATTTTCCCGCTAAAAACCCAA